CAGACTCCTTGCGGGCAGCAGAGGGAAGGAGGAGCTGGGGTGCAGCAAAGCACTCCACACCCAGCCTAAGGTCCATCCTGCAGGAAGGGCAGCTCCTCTCCCACACCAAACGCCCAGACCTGATTTGGCTGCTCAGCAAGTACAGCTGAGCAGACACGGTTTGATTTGCCGTCCTCTGCAGGAAAGGACATTTGTCCCCACCCTACAAGCCCAGGCACATGCAGAGGACACCTATTACAGGACATTTCTACACGAGTTGGGATTTGTGCTTCAGCCATCTGTGATGGGTGTGCTGGGCTTTCCTTGCTTTCACACAGAGAGGATTTGCCAGGCTGCAGTGCACCACTACTGCGTGCATCTAATTCAAGCGGGTGTGCTGTAGCCCACAGGGGACTTTAAACCTGGCAGCCACAAGAGCAGTCCAAGAGAGTCCTAACTCAAATGCCGGCTAAGAACGGATCAAGACAGAGGTTAGGGACTGATGCTGCTAAACTTCCTCTGCAACATTCAAGCTCAACATTTCAGTGTCCAGGGAAACTGCTATTGACACCTCCAACAAAACATATTGTAAAGCCCAGATCAGCAACCACTACGGAACTGAAAGCCAGGGCAAGAGAGGTGTATGAAAAAAAGCCGAGTCGGAAGTGTAAAGAGAGAGCTTTGTTCCTGATGGGGTCTGATACACAGAAGTAATTCCCTGCTCCTCCCACAATCCCCATAATCTCCTACAGGAACAACAACAAAACAACTGGGTAGACTGCAAATTTTTATCTGGTTTACAAATTTGAAAAGATGGAGAGCAGGGAGAGTATCCACCTCTATTCCACAGGCAAAAGCAAAGCCACAGTAAGGAGAAAGCTGTGAAGCAGTCTGATTTCCAAGACAGCTGCTTTTCACTTTTTCATCAAGAGATGTCACTTGCAAGAGTTGAAAGATACAGACTTTCAGCAGCAAACAAAATTTAACAATACATTTAATGCACAAAGATTTTTCCCCCCCACCCCCCAAAAAACCCAAAACAACCAGGGGCCAAAAATCCTGCTCCCTGGTATAAATGACATCCTAAAAATTATCACAGGACAGAGCTCTGTCTACCTGTTCCAGTGCAGGACTATCTCTTAAAGTATATGCTGGACGGTCAAATCCTGGATATTTCCCTGCTGCTACTAAAGCTACTGCTTCTCTCTTGATCCATTTGATCACTGCAAGCCATTTTACTTTCTTTGAACTTCACTGCTGCCCAGGAACTGAACCACTACTTGCTATGAATTTTCATGTTCAAGAAGTATTCTGGTGACACCCACAAGACAGCTTCCAAAAAATTACAGTTATTACTTCCCTCTGCCTGTAGCTCTGGTAAAAGCCTTTGCGTTCAATCCCATAGGAATTTCAAATGACTGAAGCACTGTAATTCCCCCAGGTGTAATAATCACTGCTCTGATATGCAGCTGAATGCTGACGAAGGTGAAGTCTCTTTCCCCTCCCTTTCCATAAGCATTTGCCCCCTATTTAACATTAAAGTTCTTGGCATACTCTTCACTGGGCAGTCTTAAGCATCAACACAATATGAGTAATAGCAAATACTTCATTAAAGCTGGAAGCATGGACTTTAATCTATACCAGCTCTTACTGACTAAAAAAGACAGAGAATAGGTATCCAAAAATCACAGACAACAGAGAAACAGAAACTCATTTCTCAACATCCCACTTGGTATTTTACAAAGGGTGAAGCTTACTAGACTAAAGTTGTTAGGACCGCCCTTCACAGGGACCAGAACCACATTCACCCTCCCTGCTTCCACAGAGAAGCCCTGTTAACAGCACCATGCCTCTTCAAGCAAATGGTTTGATAAACATGTCAAGTAATGCAGAACCCTGTCTAAATGCATACAATTCACCCTGAAGTGTTCCTGTTCCTCCTTTTCAGCTACATACAACAAGCTATTCAGCACTTCCCAGTCACCTATCTAGTATTTCTTCATCAAGGATCTTGAAAAATAAAGGTAACAAGAAGTACCGTGGAAGGAGAGCAAGGCTTTGTTACCATTTGCCTGGACGTTATCAAAGGAAGCACTAGAGCAGGCAAAACTTCTGTGAAGCAGCAATGGGCTAAACATACTTCTCAGCAGCAGCAAGACGGTGGCTCTTGAAGTAGCAGTTACGATGTGGGGTATCTATACGGGTTCAAATTCTGCTAGAGAAGGTACAAAAAGTTTAACACAGCTATGCTTAAGTTGGAGAGGGGCAGGGTGTCCCCACCTGAGGGAATATTCTGGCACTGGGACCATGCCTAGAAAAAAAACCAACAATGCGGGAGGCAGGTCAGGAGGGTGGGTTAAGCTGCGCAGTAGACAGGGATGCAGCCGGGTGCTCAGGAGAGCCCTGCATGTATGTACTGCTGTGTACGTACTGCTGGGCAGAGACCTGGCCTCCCCAGGGAGAAGCACCAGCTCAGGGAAAGGAAGCATCAGGCAACATATATCCAGGATACTGCAGAATTAACGCCGTAATTCTCCTCCTGTGGGAAACAGCTTTCTAAAATGCCTTTCCCCAAGACTTTCATTTTCAGGTTGCTGAATCAAATCTACCTAATCACTGATTTACAGCTGCAATGCCTAAATAGCACACATTTTTCCTTCAGTGCTTTAAAGACCTATTCCAAGGTGAACTCACTAAGTTCCTATCAAAATATTCAGTCCCTTTTTGGACTAACCACTTGAGCTATCAGCAAAACACAGCTGGAGTAACCAAGGAACCTATATATTCAGCTGAAGTCGCCATCCACTTTTCACTATAAGCACAGATTCTTCAGTCCTCAGAGAAGACTTCAACAAAACCTGATCAGTCCCTTGTTTCTGATGTTCTTTGCTAGCAGAAACATCCATTTCCTTTCTTGGCTCTCCCCACACTTGCCCTCTGCCTAACCAATACCTTTGTAAGTAAATCATTGCCAGCTGCTTCGAGTTACGTAGCTGAGGACCAGACTAGTATCCTCAATGTATTTTATTTATAGGAAGGTATGAAATCTAGAAAGTAAGTAGTAGATCAAAACATGGCCTGTATTCACCCATACTTACTTTTCCCACTTGCTGGGTCATAAAACTGCCATCACCTTAATATGAAAAACAATTAGAATCTCTATATTACTCCCTCTGTAACTCATTAGGTGCCCAAACACTTAAAAACTGACTCAGTCAGTCTTCGGCTACTTTTAGACTTCCGCTAATAAGTTTCTGAATTTTGTTTCAACTCTGTTCAACTCTGCAGTTTTCCCCATTTTTCTTGTCTCCAGAGTTAACTACAATACCACCTCCTCGGTAAGCAAAGGGTTTCTCACTGGTGATCAGTTTATCAAGCTACCCTCTGCCTTCTCTAAGCAGGCTTGTGTCTACTAGCATCCGAGAAGATGGCTCTCCTGAGCTTCAGTCCTTGCTACAGGATGGATGGGGAACTCTGTGGAGCGAACATGGCATTAATGGCCATCAGCAACGCAAAGCCACACTTCAAACCTCTCCCATATTAAGTTGAACTAATTTTGAACTCCAGAGATTGGATATCCCACCGACATCAGCGGGCACTGTCACCTGACCATGGAGAGGACACCAATTCTCACAGGATCTGCAGCCACCTCCTAAACAATCTAGAGCTCCACTGGCTGGTCCCCAACACAACCTCACTCAGGCTAGATACCAAAACAACACATTAACACATATGCTTACTTCCACAAGTCAAAAAAAAAAAAAAAAAAAAAAAAATCAACCTTCACAGCAGGGCAGACTATTTCTGACACTACTTCTCCATGCAAACTACAGTAAATGGAAGTTTTTCAACATTCTTCAAGCCGTCTTCTGCTCTAATCATCACATTTTGTATTCCAGCAAAAAGGATAATACATATGCTATTTTTCTCTTTCATATGGATTAAGCAAAACATCCTTCACTTCTAAATCATTTATCAAGATCATTTGCCTCCTCCTCTTGCTTTTTTTTTTTTTCTTCCATTTCTCAGTCAACCCCCCACTAAGCCATCTATTCAGCTAGCAAGACAGTCAAGGACCTAATACATTAATTTTGTCAAACCTGAAAGGCCTCTAAGGACTCAGATCTTGTCTTGTTCACCCCTTCTAGAAACAGTCGTCTCTGGCATGTCAACTTGTTGCACTCTCTGCTTTCAGCATCTTTTACTGCAGTTCAGTTTCTCTCCTCCTTCCCCTCACCCACCCCACCTGTGAAGCAACTTCAACCCTGTAAGGGATTTCCTACACATGAGAAGATACATGTTCCATGCATACTACAAGGTATGCTACCCGTTGTGCATATATACATCCCTGGAACACAGAAGACCAACAGGTTGTGGAACGAGTTAAGATTTTTTTCTCTTTTCATAGGACTACAGTCTGGTTTCAGAAGTCTCCAGGACTAACGAAAGCAAAAAATACTTGTTCTAATTTGCTGAGATGTCAAATCGGCAAGATTTCTCCATCCAACCTACTTCTGCCTTTGAAGGCAAACTTGTTAGTTTCCAAACACACCACATTTAACTACAGCATGAAAGGAGCAAGGCATATAGCATCTATCCTTCAAGAAAACTAATCACATCTGTTCTGGTAAGACAGATCTCCTAGGTAGAAAAGACATGCAGCAAAATCAGTCTGCAACACTTCTCTTTATTATGAGTGATTGGTACACACACACGTAGATAAATCTTCTATAAACACACCTCTAGCTCAGCCTGTAGAAGAAAGATCTCAAAAAGAAAAAAAAAAAAAAAAAAAAAGACAACCTCACTTCACAGAGTATCCATTTCCAGATACAGAAATTCTTCTATCGTCCCACTCTACCTCCTTTCAATCTCCTCTTTGCCACACAACTCAATTATTTTGTAATGCTGAAATAATGACCGAGACAAGCAACTTCAGATCCCTTAAACTTATTACAGCTTCAACTCCTGTGAAGTATTTTCTATTAATAAAAGGAAGAAGGGTAGATTGAGACACTAACCTCTGGCTGACAGTTTTTTGGTGTTGATGATTTTTGCAGCATATTCCTGTGATGAACTTTTCTTTACACATCTGCGGACCACAGAGAAGGCTCCCCTAGAAGAAAATAAAGAGGGTAGGAGCTATGAAACTGAAAATGAGAATACAATAGCAGCAATTTCTATCCCCAGAGTGGACCAGATTAAGGACAGGGCAGAAGACACATAGAAGAGGGAAACAACACATGAGAATCTGATGAGCAGTGCATGCTATCTGATCAGCAAATAAAACCTAGTCTATATGGTACTCAAGCCTCCTGAGGACCCCTCAAGCCCCTCACAGGCAGCGCAGTAAGAACAGCACACTGCAGGGAGAGAGAGACCATACGGGCACAGAAACAGGACACGGAGGGATTGATGAATGGGAAACAAGCAGCTCAGGACAACGCTGCAAACACAAGCCGGTAAATCCATCTCTGAAGACAGTATCCCCAGCAGTCACATCAGACAACCGGCACTCATTTCTCCCACGTTCAAGTGCCAGCTCGGTCATGAAATTGCTGCAACACTTTGCAGAAGTTACTAGCTCTCCTATATCTGTCTACCCACCTGCAAAATGGGGATAAGCATGTACCTATTAATGAAGTGAGTAGGAAGCTACCAGGCTTTGTACATTTTCTCAAGCTGGAATTATTGATATTATTACAACTATTCCAAGGAGCCACTTGGAGAAGAGGCCTGAGAGAGAGGGAAGAACGATTTCTGTGAGGGGAAAAAAAAAAAAAGATACAATACAACAGAGACCAAGGTGAAAAGATAGGGACTCAAAATCTACGGGACTACACAGATGAACACTTGAAAGCCTTCCCTTCTTTTATTAAAAAAACAACAAATCAGGGGAGGAAAAAAGTAACAACTGTCTCTATGGGAAAGACCTGAAAAGGGGAAAAGGACAAATAAGAGAAAACCGGCAGAAAATTCCAAGTTCTTCAAACCAGCAATGCGAACCCATGTCTACGGACAAACGTACACATTTGACATATAAGAAAGGGGAACAGAAGCTGTACAAGGGCCCCAGAAAACAGCCCTACAGAGAGCCTAAAATAGCTTGAATCCTTCTGATAACTGCAGAGTCCTGCCTTTTTCTCCCCTTCCTCAACCTCTACATATAAACCAATAAGCAGCAAGGTGAGCACCAGCACTGGGGCCCGGGCTCGGTGACACACAGCTGCAGCAGTGTGGGGAGGGACGGGGACACGGGGCTGGAGAGCAGAGATGCAGCAGAGCCCAGCAGTTGGTGCAGGAAGGGGGGGGGGGGGGAGCAGCAGCACCCAGGAAAGCACGGTCCCCATAATCCTACCCTGGCCTTCGCTGTGCTGCTTCCCTGTCCGACCGGGTCCCCCTGCAAAGCCCCGTCCTAGGGTGCAGCAGCAGGTCTGCCAATGCAGAGACGAGTGCGGAGAGAGGGAGGGAAGGAGGGAGGGAGGGAGAAGCGCGGTGCAGCAGCACCTGGTCCTTTCACAGGGACGAGGAAGCAGGGACCGAAGCATCGCAGAGCGGCAGCAGCAGTGCCGCGTCCCAGCGCAGAAACACTTGAAGGGAACGGCAACGTGCAGCAGGGAGACTGTACGGGGAGGAGAACGCGGCAGCCTGGTCCTGGGAGGGCAACGGGGGAAGAGAGGAAGTCCCGGGGTGCAACAGGAGCGCGCAGCCCGAGGCGGGCTGCGGGGACACCCCATCCAGCGGCGGGGGCGACCCAGGGGCGTAGAAACACCTTTCCCTCCA